ATTGGGAATAAAAAAAGGTAAATGCATGTGGTGAAGTCACCAAATTTAATAGGGAATTTGACTACTGTTTTCTAAACTTTGAATACTAAATATTATTTAAAGGTGGTGATAGTGACGGTGACAAGAATGATAACTAGAAAACACAAATCCTGTAAGGCAAAATAAAGACGTGCCTCTTTGTAAAATATACTTTTTGTTCTCTTTTTAAGAGCTATAGTGGGTCTCACCATTATGTACATCCCCAAGAAAATAATTTTTAAAAAATAAATAATTTTTATGGTTTGGATGTGAGGTGTCCCCCAAAAGCTCACATGTGAGACAGTCCCCTGAAGGAATTAATCGAGTGGTAACTGAAGGTAGGTAGGGTGTGGCTGGAGGAGGTGGGAACTGAGGGCATGGCTTTGGGGTAGATACTTGCATCTGGCCAGTGGAGTCTCTGCTTCCTGATCATCATGTGAGCTGCTTCCTTACACCACACTCTTATGCTATGACGTTCAGCCTCACCTTGAGCCCCAAGGAATGGAGCCTGCTTCTATGGACTGAGACCTCTGAAACCATGAACCTCCAAATAAATTTTTGCTCCTCTAAAATTGTTCTGGTTGGGTCTTTCAGTCACAGTGGTGAAAAAGCTAAATAAAACAATAACTTTGGGTAAATTGCAGAAAGATCAATAGAAGGAAAGGAGCAGGAGGTGGGGAAAAGAAAGGGTAAGGAGAGGTACTGGGGTCAGAATTAGATTAAGATATATTCCATGCTTATATAATTATGCCAAAATGAATTCTGCTGTCCCATATAACTAAAAACAATTTTTTAAAAAGCCCTGATGGTTCCTCACTGACCATCAGATCAAAGTCAGATGGAGCCCTTGAGGTCTCCCATTAAATGGTCCTCTCTTACCTTTAGGCCCTTCTGTTTTCTTGGTCACCAGCTTAGAACTTGTTCTACTATAAAACATTCTCCTTTCCCACCTTCAAACTGCAGCCTCTCTGCCTTTATTCCTCCAGCTCCCTCTGCCTAGAATATTGTCCTCTAGCATTCCAAATCTTCCATTCCCAATGATGCCCATCCCAAAGCCTATGAAGTCTTCCAGAATTAACCCCCACTGTATATTCTTTCCTTTTCACTCCAGTCCTCATACTCATACTCATTATCTCATTACATGTATTCATTCACACCAGAAATGGAATGAGCACCAATTATGTATCATACCCTGTGCTAGATACCCATCATGGAGAGTTAAATAAATGGCAGGTAGCCTTTACTTTCCCAGGAGCATATTCTCATTCCATATCACACATGTTCAAATTTTCTCCTCAGACTCCATCATCTACTTTCTGAAATTGGCCTTGAAGCAGTTACTAACATAGTAAAAACACATTGCTGAGTAAATTGCCCCTATATCCTTTTGCCCTTTAAATTTTTTAGAAGCAATTCTTTCCTTTCAGGATTTCTTCCATTGAGTCCAGTAACCCATTATCTTAAAAAGACAGATTTTTTTTTCCTTTTCATTACTGAATTTTTTTCCCATTTTATTGGTTCACATTAGCTATACATAGCATTAGGATTTATGTGGGGGGCCACCCTGTCCACTAGCCAAGCATCCCCTCTCAGCCTTGAGTAAAGAGGTTATTGGACTGGCCACAGATGCCACGTGCTGTGCATAGCAAGTGACATTTACCTTCACTCTGCAAGGAAGTGCTTCAGCTCTGGACTTGAGCATTACCCAATGGGTTTGAGCAACCCCCCTTTGAAACATTATCCCCTGCCTTATTTGGGTAGAATATTCTATCAAATGTCCTTTCCTTAATAGAGAGATTCTGAGTGCATGCACTCTCTTGCATTCCACCGTGGAAGAGGACCCTTGAGGTTATAGAGCCCTCTGCAACCTCCATTTGTGAAAAAGTTACTTTAGTGACCATGTGGTCTTTATGCTGCCAGCCCAAACCACAAAGAGTGATACCAATTCCATCGCCCTGGTGGGACCGTGGGCGATACATTCATTTTGACATAATTATAAATTCATGTAATATAATTTGTTCCAATTCAGTTACCAGTGCTTACCTTTACCCTCTCCCTCCTCCCACTCCGGTTCCCTTTTCTCTACTGGCCATTCTGCTATTTATTTTTATTTATTTATTTATTTATCTATCTTTTTTTTTTTTAAGTTAGACTCTTGTGGATGTACATGATGGTGAGATTCACTGTAGTATATTCATGCATGTGCATAGGAAAATTAGGTCAGACAAGCTCTCCCAGCTTTTTTGCCACAGAAATAATAAGGGGATCAAGAGAAACATTACCAGCTGTCAAGTTATTAATATATCCTTTTGGGTCAATGATGAAATAGAGTTGTCACAAAACAAAGGTAGGAAGAAATAAGAAAGAATTTCTGGGCTCACATTTTTCCTTACCATGCTATTTGTCCCCTTTTTTATACCTGTCCACATGCTGGTGTTCATTTACACATAGCCTAGAATAATGCTTTGCACACAGCTGGTCCTCAATAAAAATTTGTTTAAAGAATAAATAATGCCTTTTAGAAATCACTCCTCTAATCAATCACAGTGAAGAAAAAATGCTGGAGAATTAGAGGAGAACATATATTTTATTACTTTGATTCTCATGCCTTATTATCTTAAATGGTCTGGGTGGTGACTTTCTTTGACTGACCAGTACAACGATACATATGATTCAACTCATTAAGCAATGGTGACACCTACTTAAAGCTCTTATGGCATCCATTTCAGTTTGTGTTCCAGAAATGCTAAATTAAAATCCTGCTTTGGATGAAGCCATTGCTTGCTGTCTGATTTCCCTGTGGGCTTCCAGGAATCATTGTTGAAGGTCAAGGCAGTGTTACTTGCTACACAGTGAATGATCCTAAGAATGAGAAACTTATAAAGTGAAAAAAAGGTGCCTCACAGACAGTTTATTTGTCTTTCTATTCAAAATGCTTAATCAGTTTTCTCCTTATGTCCAGTTTGATTACTGTAAGACAACAAAGCCCCATCCTCTCACATCCTAGGCCTGCGTGATCAGACTGTGGAAGAAATTGTCCTTCCATGATGACTCTGATGCTTTTGGCTTGATACTAAGCAAAATGACAAAAACATGATGCTGTTGGGAAACACAAAGCATTATCACACTTGGAATTCTGAGTCACTTCTCTTGATATAGTCCCAACCACACTCCTAAGGCCCATGCCAACACAAATCACTAAACTGCCAAGATTTCTGCCCAGTAGTTATTGTAAGATCCTTGCTTAGCATCTGGATGACCATCTTAAGTGACAGCCGCCATTTTAAGAAAAACTTCACTTTCCCGCCCAAGGGTCTTTGTTTTGCCTCTCTCCTATAAATATGGTATTCATTTGTCAGCTATGAAAAATAAACTCTTGTGTGTATCTCTGCCTGGTCTCAGTCTTTCATTTCTTGCTCACCCACCTCCCAGTTCCTTGCTTTCCTTTCAGTTATCATCCATTCTTACACACACACACACACACACACACACACACACACACACACACACACATATAAAGAGATGGGCATCTTGAAATATCCTGCAAGATACTGCTGAGCATTCAATGTATAATGAGGGCATTTTCCTTTCCCTATTGTTGCTACCATTGCTCTCACTGATGGAAAGTTCTCATTCCATTCATGTGGCCAGGCTGGACTCATTGTACCAACTCATAAAGGACCAACTATATTCAGTCCATTAATGGGTTATAGCATCCTGAAGTAAGGAGGTAATTGCAATCCAAACTGGGAGCCTGGCCTCTCTCTTCAGACCACAGGATGTCAATAACTCCACAAATGTTCCCTCAAGCTGATCTCTGGAAGAGACAGCAAAATCTAAGATAATTTGACTCTTCACAAAACATAATGATATTTACAATATATAGTAAATACCCAACTAAAAAATCTGGTTTTGAATTACAAGGAACCCCTATTATCTAGCATCTTTAGTTCCATAAATTTCCAAGATCTGGGTTTTTTTTTAATTGAAGATCTAATTTATGAGAGAAGTTCAGTTAATGTAAGAATATGAAGAAATTGTTGACAGAATGAACAGGGATTCCTTAGTTTTTATTTATATAAGATGAATTTGTTTGTATCATGCAAAAATATAGAAAATAATGGAAAGAGGGAAATAAAAGTGAGAGAGAGGCCTCTAAGAATGTCTTTCTGTCCCCAAATTAAGCCCCCTTGTTTTTATGAGGATCACTCCCTTTACCCACAGGAGGGGATCCTCACATCTTGCAGTATGGGAATCTGGGCCTCAGGTTAGAGTTCATTGGATCCAGGACAGACACTGCCCCTGAGCTGGACCAATCAGTCTCTTTCTCCTTGGAATGCACAATTGAGGTTCTGAATAGTAGGCTGGTCTCTTCCTATGGCCATAGGGAGGACAAGTAAATGTAGGAAATGAAGGCCTGTCATTATCTACCATGCATGAAGAGAAAACATTCTGAGAATGATAAATAATGAGGAAGCCACATAGGGAGAAAGCAGGCAGTGAGACAGACAAGCTCAATCTGCTGTTATCACTTTCTTCTCATGGTTCCAATTCACAAAGAGGCTTGGCTCCATTTCCTGCCCTTGAGCTCTGTGATTATCCCTATGTTCTCATAATAAATTTCTCCTTTTGGTATAAACAAGTTTGAGTGGGTTTCCATTACTTACAACTAAAAGAACCTTGACTAAGTAGGATTCTTATTCTGTTAGCACCATTGAGTAGTAACTATGATTCATCCTCTATCATGTCTTGTTTGTGGTGTCTCCAGAATATGTTAGCTACAGATCTAAAAACTGCAAAACTCCTGATTTTTCATCTCCATCAGGCTTAAAACCAAATACACTGAGAATAGAATAGGCTTGGGGAAACAGACATATGACACCAGAGTGAATTCTGCCTTAGCCTCACATTCCTGCAATCAAATGTGAGCCACCAAACCCTGTTTTCTTTTTCTGGGATGGAGAGCATGATTTACTCTTTGGCCTAGTTGAAGAGGCTTTTGAAGGAGAAAAGACAGAGAAGATTCCAGAATTCCAGCGTGGGCACTAACACACTGAGTGCAACAAATGGAATGAATGTGGGAACTTCTCAGAATTGATTCAAGTGTTCAGTTTCTTTCTGTTCAGCTAAATAATTTTACACAGGGGACCAAAGAAACAACCTGTTAGCAAGCAAATAGTCCTTCTGGCTCTAAATTCAGTGTGCTGAGTCATGCTGCCTCTCACATTTTGGATAAGAAAATGAGAAGAAATAATAATAACCACTGTAATGGTGGCAGCTAACATTTAATAAGTTCTTATTGAGCTGTTGTGAGCATTTCACTCACGTGAACTCAATTAATCTTCACAATATCTCCAATGAGGTAAGTACTATTATGATCTCTATTTTACAAATGAGAAAGCTAAAACTCAAAATGGTTAAGTTTATTTCAAAGGTTTCATGCTAGTAATTGTGGATTTGGTATTTACAGCTAAGCAATCTGGCTGCATAGTTGGAATCTTAAATTTTAGCTTGTGATTCAATAATGGAAAAAATGGAAGAATTGGACATTTCAAGATAAATAATATGTATTTAAAAACCTTACTATAGTGAACCCTTAATTTCTTTCACTGGGCTTCTAATTTGTGTATCTTCCTTCACTCCTGTATGGGCCATGATGCTGGCAGGAATTAAAAGGGATTCTGAAAGGGCATGATTTAAAAGAATTTAGGGACTATTTATAAGGTATGGCTAGGATTAAGAAAAAGTGACATTGAATGGTGAAGCACACCCCAGGTTATCAAGAGCAGTAAATTATTGCCATCCTTAGAACTGAATGGAGAAGGGAAAAACTACTGTAAGAACCTTGGGGGGGTGTATGGTTGTAAGAGAGAATCACTGTGTAGGGGCTATGGCCATAGGTAGAGAAATAAAGCCCTTACCAAACCTTAGCCTTACCTAATCTTTCCCTTCCCCACCCCTTTCACTTCCTGCTTTATATTCTCTTGCCAATGCTTTCTGTTAGCTGATCTCAACCAGAACAGGGGGCAAAAGGACCCATTGAGGCAGCCCATACAGGTTAGCTCAGGGCACAGAGCAGGCCAAAGCTAGGTGGAGTGTCAATTTGGAGATACAAATGCAGAATATCCAGCAAACCTCCCTTCTAAAATCAGAAGGACAGAACAAAAATATTTTTTAATATGCAAAAATGAAACAACACAAGAAAGGAAACCGAAAGTGAACTAAAAATTTTGAAACCCTGGAAGAAGGAAAGCTGATGAGATTAAATTCATGGAAAAGGGAGCTTCAAACTAAAAGCTTAAAACATCACCGTAGTTATCTCTGAGAGCTCAAGATTAGAGCATTGAGCTGGGTGCAGTGGTGCAAGCCTGTAATCCCAATGGTTTAGGGAGGCTGAGGCAGGGGAATTGTGAGTTCAAAGCCAGCCCCAGCAACTTAGCAAGCCTTAAGCAACTCAGCGAGACCCTGTCTCTAAATAAAATATTTAAAAAGGCTAGGATGTGGCTCAGGGGTTAAGGGCCCCTGAGTTCAATCCCTGGTGTTCCCCCCCCCCCAAAAAAAGCAATTCTTGTCTAAACCATAACATTTCTGCCCCTGGTCCCACAAAAGCTCCTACTCATCTCACAATTCAAAAGAATTTCAGTCAATTTCCAAGAATCCTTAATACTCTGAACAGTTCCAGGGATTTCTGAAAATTTCAAGTTCACAGTCTCCTCTGAGACTTAGAGCAAACTCTCAGGGTGAACCCCACTAAAACCCAAAAGCAAGTTACATATATCCAATATATAAAGGCAAAAGAGTAAATATTTTCATTCCAAAAGAAAGAAATAGGGGCATAGAAATCCAGCTGGGCAAACAAATCCTAGAGTTTCATGTCTGACATCTGGAGCACATGGTATCCTGATGTTCTCTCCATGAGACATGTGTAGCTTCACCCCTGAGGGCTTGCTGGTTACAGTCCATGTGGCCTCTCTGTTGACTTGTTTCTATTCAATTCCTGTAGCTTTCTTCAGCAGACATTCCACAATTGCTGGCATTTCTTAATCTTGGGGGTCTCCACTGCTGCTTTGGCTTCTTTCTCACTTCTGCATGCATTGCCCTCTCAGGGGCAGCCTACAGGGACTCTTACCCTGTTTGCTCATTGCTGAGCCTCCCAGGTCTTCCTTTGAAATCTAGGTGGAAGCCCCCATAATCCCTACCTCCAGCATCCTTCAATCCTGCAGAACTAGGAACAAGTGATTGCTGCCAAGTTCTGCCACCATCTTAAGCAGTAGGCAAGCCACCAGGGAACATGGCTGCATCAGTCTCTGAGTGCCTGGGTGGCTGAATATGGTAAAAGAACTTCCCAGGACCCTCTGCAAGCAGGATGCCCCAGTGGTCTCTTCTCAAAGGAATTTTTACCTTTACACCCTTGAGACTGACATGGGTATTGTCTTACCAATTCCTGAGAAGTCCTCAAGCCATCTTTCCTATTGTTTCTGGCGAAAGTACTTAACAATATCACTTTAGTGGCTGCATTCTCTTTAACAACCACACCTTCCTTAGCCCCATTTTACTGACACTTTTCAAGCCACACTGCAAGTTTTTCAATTGTTTTGCCTTGCTTTCTCCTCCTTATTATCACAATAAACTTGGCTAAAAGCCACCAGCAATATCCATTGCACTGGCTGAAGACTATGCTGCCTAGAAATTTCTTCTGCTATGGCTGGGGTTATGGCTCAGTGGTAGAGGGCTTGCCTTGCATGTGCAAGTCCCTGGGTTCGATCCTCAGCACCACATAAAAATAAATAAAATAAAGTTATTAAAAAAGAAATTAAATTTAAATTCAAGATCACAGAAAGTCTCAAGACATGGAGAAAATGTACACAACTCCCTAGACAGAATACAACATGAATGACCTTTAGGTCAATTTCCGATAGAGTCCTCTTTTTCATCTGAAGCCTCATGAGCCCTGTTATTCACTGTCTGCAGTCCTATTGACATTCTGGTTTTCTGAAGTCTTACCAGTATTATCCATGAAGTCTGCTTACAACATTCTAAAACTTTTCCACTTTTCATCACTAAACTTTCCAAAATTCCTCCCACAAATTCCAGAAAGCACTAAAAGCATCTAAATCACATGGTCAGGTTAGTCATAGCAACAGCCCCACTCCTGGGTACCAGTTTCTCTTTTAGTCAGTTTTTTCACTGCTGTGACCAAAAGACCTGACAAGAATGATTAGAGAAGGAAAAGTTTGGGGGGGGCTCATAGTTTCAGAGATCTCAGCACATGGTTGGCCAACCCTGTTGCTCTGGGCCCAAAGTAAATCAGAACATCATGGAAGAAATGTGTGGTGGAGGCAATAGCTACGAGCATTGCACCAGAAAGGGGGTGGGGATGAAGGGAGAAGAGACAGAGAAAGAGAAGAGCACTCCTCTTACCACAGACAAAATATAAGCCCCCAATGCATGCCCTGAGTGACCCAGCTCCTCCAGCCAAACCTTACTTGCCCACAGTTAATCCCTATCAGGGGACTAATGCACTGATCCAGTTAAGGTTCTCATAACCTAGTAATTTCACCTCTAAACGTTCCTGCATTATTTGACACATGAGCTTTTGGGGAACACTTCATATCTAAACACACACACACACACACACACACACCATATATACATATGCAATGGAGTTTTATTCATCCATAAAGAAAAATGAAATGATGTCATTTGAAGGAAAATGGATGGACCTGAAAAGCAACATGTTAAGTGAAATAAGTAAAATTCAGAAAGTCAAAAAACATACATTTTTCTCTCATATGTGGAAACTAGAGGGGGGAAAAAAGTGAACCTCATGAATAAAGGAGATCAGTAAAGTTGAGGAAGGTGATTGGGGGAGGTAGGAGGAGAGAGTAAGAAAAGATACTGGGGAATGAAATTTATCACAGCATCTTATGCACATGTATGAATATGTCACAATGAAGCCCACTATTTATAGAATTATTATTCACCCATGAAAAACAAATTGTCTTTAGTGAACCCCCCATAGTCATACAGAGCATGTACAACGGATAGCAGCCTCTGCACAAATTTGAACTGATCTCCGAGTATTATCAGATATTTGAGGAAAACACTACCATGAAGAAAAATGAAACAAAGATGAAAATGCAGAAATGGATTAAAAGGAAAAGAAATAATTCAAAGAAGAGAGAACATTCTTCTAAACAATTGTATTCTTCTCTCTAACCCAGACCTCTCCTTGAGTCTCAAACTCATTTTCAAATGCCAGGTATATTCATAGCAAGGCAAAGACCCTCGAACACCTTGAATTTACCATGTTTTGAAATAACTGGCTTCTCTTCCACCCCAAATACGTTATCATTCCTGAGTTCTTAATCTCCATCCATAGCACATCTATTGCATGGATAATTGCTTATCTCCAAACATCCAAGTAATCTCAGAGACTATAAATCTTATTTTATTTTTTTCCTATTTCTCATCCTTACCTGAGGCCTCACCTCTAACTCTCATAGATTGCATCTTAGAGATGTCTCTGGAACGTAATTCCCATATCAGTTTCCATGGTTCCAGCTAAATTTTCATCATCTTTAATCTGAACTTCGTTGATGGCCTCTGTATCAATCAGCATTCTACTGGAGAAACAGAACTAATTGGATATAAGTAGGTAGGTAGATAGATAGTGATTTATTTCATGAAACTGGCTTACATGATTATGCTAACAGGCAAGTCCAAATAGCGCAAGCCAGCAGGCCAAAAACTCTCAGACAGGAGCTGCACTGTTAACTGCAGGCAGAATTTCTTCTTCCCCAGGGAAGTTTCAGTTCTGCCCTTAAGGTCTGGAACACCTTCTTTAGTGTTTGGTTGACTATAATAAATTGACTATATAAGTGTTTGGGGACTATAATCTAGCTCAATTGACAATGAAATTAAACAGCATAGCCCCTCTCTGGTATCTGCCTCTTGGTGACTCATCCTGTGTGCAGATGGATCTCAAACCAGGAGTCACATCAGAATCAACTGGAGGGCCTTAAACAGTTATGCACACACACACACACACACACACACAGAGAGAGAGAGAGAGAGAGAGAGAGAGAGAGAGAGAGAGAGAGAGAAGAAAAACACTATTCCTACTATATTTCTTCAGGATTATGTATCTCCAAAGCCTGTCTGACCATACTACTTAAATATCTATATTTCATCATGAAATAAGCAAAACAGTTCACACCCCTTAGCAAGGTTTCTAAGACCTCATGGTTTGGCCCCCAAATCCTTTCATAGTTCCAACTTCTGCTATTTCTACCCAAAGTTATATCACTTGCTTCGGGCTCCCCAAAAGTTTATCCATTATCAGCCATGTCCACACTTTTATTTATTTCAGAGATCACAAAGCAAATGCCCACAAAGGCCAAATGAATAATTTAAATGTGAATTTAAACATGTGAGTTTGGCTCTGTGAGATAATAGGGAATGTTGCCATATGGGGCTTAACTAATTGGAATAGATTTGGAAGACAAAATAAGAGTAGGGTTGATATTGAGATGGTAAATAATGACTGAGCAGAAATAAAGGAAGCAAAATATGGGTATTACAGCGACTGTTGGTGCAATATTCCCTTAATCCATCCATGAGGTCACTTGTTTCTTCAGTGGGCAGTTTTATTATTGCCATCTGCACACCTGCTACACTGTCTACCGAAAACATCTGTGACTCTGCTTGAGACCTTTTTCTGGCTACAAGAGAATATTCAACACACCTGCAGGACAGGCTAGACATGTCAGGATGTTAACAACCCGAGGAGCGGTCCTCCGATAAATAGTCCCATTCCTTGCCTGTCAATTCTGAAGCATGTTACACATAATCTCTCAGAGAATACTTGATGGAAATGAGCCCCTGTTGATGATCACAGAGGTAACCCAATCATTTATGCCCCCTTATTAGCATCTTCCCTTCTTAATTCCTGTCTACCTTACAGTACATCCTGGGCATGTCCCAAATAAGCTTCTTCTAAATCCCCACCTCAGGTTCTGCCTTTGAATGGGAAGAGGGTGACTCAAACTAAGACAGTAGGGTAAACTTGCAAAGTAGGTCAGGAAGGAGGAGAAATCTAGAAGAGGAAGCAACCAATATTATGAAGAGGTTAGAGAGTCCACAGAGCCCAGTTTATCATAGTAGAGGAACGTGGGAGAAATTCTCCCCTCCTTCTTCGGCCCAGCAGACTCAAAGCCACAATAGAAGCTACTGGATAGATAAGTTTACTGAAATATTTACCTTGCCCAACTTTGACTTAATTTATACTTCCACCTTAGAAAATTTAGTTGGAAATGAGGTTTAACTCTAAGAAATTTATGTTAAACAGACTCAAAATCTAGCTTGTTAAAGCTAAGCGATAAAAATATTGTTCCTGCAAATAAACAGCAACTTTTCCTTTTCCATCTGAAGTCAGATGAAGAGGAAATAAATTAGAAGATGGAGAGTGCTCAGCATCCCAACCATTGTTTATGGCTCTCTTTACTTAGCTATTCTAAATCATGCATTTCCTCTTAGGGTCATAAAGATATCAGTTTTTCCACTCAGCAAGAGAAATGAGAGGTGAAGAAGGAGAATGTTATTTTGCAGGAAGGGAAACAGAGCCCTGGAGATTTATCTGGGCCTGCATCAGAGTAACTGGCTGACCAGTAGTTTGCATTCAGAGCATCAGAATTTCAGTCACTTGCTTAATCTAGCAGGCCCCAAAATGTGTGAAATACCAGAACTTCTGCAAACACAGTCAGAGCCTGATCACTGGTATCTTCTGATTAAGGTATTATTGCCCAGCTCTTTCCTACTAAGACATTTTTTTAGATATGTAATTGCTAGTAATCCCCAACCAAGAGTGTTTTGAGACTAGAATTAAGATTTCAGTAGGGGCTACAGTTGTGGCTCAGTGGTAGAGTGCTTGCCTAGCATGGTGGGAGGCACTGGGTTTAATCTTCAGCACCATATATAAGTAAATAAGTAAAATAAAAGTATTGTGAAATAAAAAATTCAGTAAAAACCATAGCACATTTAAAGTACATCTCCTCTGCTGTGTAGGTGTTATAGTAGTTGAAGGGACATCCATTAGTGCCCAGATGGTTAATGAAACTAGCCAGTTTTGTTTTGTTTTTTGTTTGTTTGTTTGTTTGTTTGTTTGTGAGAGGGGAGCTTATCTTCTCTCCTTGGCCCACTTACTTCACCCAGATCTTGGCAGCAATTTGCGATTCTGGAAGGTTTTGTCATAACTAGTTTTATTAATCATATCTAGCAGGATTTAAAAGCAGAAGATGCAGTGATTTTTTTCAAAGTAAACATCATTATAAAATACTATTAATATATTTTTTAATTAAGCTGGGTAAGAAAATCATTAACAGAAATATCAGCTGTTGTGAGACATCTTGAAAAATATCCAGCTAGTACCCTGAAATTACAATTTGCATCAGAGGCTTCACTAGAAGATTTACCACGTTTTCACATGGACTTAAAAGATAAAGACAGGACTTAATGAAGACACTAGGACAAATGACAAGTGAAGTATGTACAAAAATGAATATGTCAACTATAAATCTACTCCTGCTTAAGTAATAATTTTTTTCTGGGAAAAAAATAAATAAAAGCAAAAGAAATTATGAAGACAACAAAAATGTTCATTAAAATATTTGAATCCAACTTTAATAGGAATTAAAGCATAATGTGTATTCCTTTATGTATTTACATGGTAAATACCATAAAACTTTAGTAATGCACATGATGTATATATTTGTGATCTGTACATCTACATTTCTGATAACCACAGTATCTTGATTATTTCATGTAGTCAGGAACTGTGCCAAGTATTTTCTATTCATTGACTCATTTATTACCAACAAAAACCTATGCAGTAGTTATTACTATTATTTTGAAAATGAAGATAACGAGTCTCACGTTAAATCAACTTGCATACTGCCACAAAAACCAAGAAGTGGTAGAATTTGAACCCATGACAAATGGTTTAAAAGCTCATGCTCTTAATTGCTGTTAAAAAAAACAAACATTTAACGTAATTATAGTTTCTAAGCTCACCTCACTTAAGAACCTTTTATCCAGGGGAGGATTAACAGAGCCACCACTATCCTGTACCAGGGTATCTGCTCCTTTTATCACTCTGGTACTAGGCATGGCAAATTACATTTTCCAAAATGGTCACAGCAATATTTCCCATGCCACCTGCCTTCTTATAAGGAAACTTCAACAGTCTTCCCATTGAGGATTGGATGTCTGTGTTCTCTCCCCTTGAATTGGGCTTTCTTTTAACTATTGCCAAAGTAACACTATGTGCTTTCTTAGGGTAAAAATAAGAGTGCAGTTTCAGCTTGGTTCTTTCTTTTGCTCTTAGAGTCAGCCACCAGACTCTGAGGCAGCCCAATGCACATGGAGAGGTCCACATGTAGGGTAACCATAGCCATCAGCCCTTGGCCCTAGCTTAATTCCTAGCCAGTGGCCAGCAACAAATTGATAGTCATCTTCACTTTAGATCCTCCACCTGAGTTGCTCAAACTGAAATCACAAGTTGTAGACACAAGCCTTGAGTCCTGCAAATTTTTTTAAGCTAAGTTGATGGTTAAGGACTTCTAGTTCTGGCCAAAATGAAGTAGTTCCATTCACCCATGTCTTCCTATAACAATTAAAATCAAACTCTGGACAAACCAACTGTATAACATAACACAATAACCAAATGTAGGAGGACTCAAGAAGGTGGAAATAAGATGAACTGCCTAGGGACCTTGGAACTTGAGGAATGAATGACCCAGACATTAGTTTCTTGGAGTTTCCTTATTGCCTCCCATGTATTCCAAACAGTAGAAACCTCTGATCCAGAACTGCTCAGAGGTAAAAAAAAAAAAAAAAAAACACTAGAGAAGAATACATGTTTGGCTCTAAATACATAGTAAGTAGTCAATAAATGTTAGCAATAAACAACAGTTGTAACCATAATATCCAGCCTGAGATTGCCACTACTATAAAGTGGAAGGGGTTCCATGGCTACTGTGTAGAGTAGATGCATATGGAAGACAAAATGAATTTTTGATGACAGTATCTGAAGTGTGTTCTGAAACTGACTTTATTTCAGTATTCTAGGAAGAGTTTCTGCATTACATGTGCTAAGGAATAAACCATTTAACAATAACAGCAATGAAAGTAAGGCACTGGGCAAATGGACAACAAGTGTGGAGACTGAGCAACTACAGATAGACCAGCTTAATCTCTATAATTAACAAAATAGTTCTTGTATAAGAAATGAACCAAATTTGGACTGATGTGGATTATGGAATAGAATAGGACCATGAAAACAGAGTGTAAGCCAACTGATGTTTTAGTTATCTATTGTTATATGACAACCCACACTAAAGCTTAGTGCCTTGAAACAACCAGTAGCAATCATTCTCTGGAAAAGATTGTGTAAAACAAATGTCAGTTCTTCATTAAATATTTGGTAGAATTCTCCAATGAAATTATCTAGGCCTGGAGGTTACTCTTTCAAGAAGATTTTAATTATAAATTCAATTTATTTAATGGCTATAAATCTATTCATTGTCTATTTCATCATGGTGAGTTTTGGTAGTTTGTACTTGCTGAGGAAATTTGATAACTTAACTTCATCTAAGTTATCAAATTTATGAGGGCACAGTTGTTCACAGTGTAATGGCTAATGTTATGTGTTGTAAAACTTGGTTGGGTCAAGATGTTATGGTTTGGATATGAAGTGTGCCCCAGTAAATCATATTCAAAAAGGCTTGGTCCCCAATGTAGCAATGTTCAGAGTGGGGATTTGGGAAAGTTAATGACTCATGAGGGCTCTGACCTTATCAATGGATTTACCCATCAATGCATTTTTAGCTGATAGCATTATTAGAAGGTGGTGGAAACTGTAGGAGGTGGAACCTAGTTGAAGGAAGTAAGTCACTAGGGGCATGCCCTAGAAGAGTATTTTTTTTTACCATATTTCTCCTTCTCTCTTTCCTTTACAGTCACCATGAAGCAAGCAGCTTTGCTCTGGTAAACCCTTTTGCCATGATATTGTGCCTCACCATACGCCCAGAAACAATGGAGTCAGCTGACCATGAACTGAAGCCTTTGAAATCATAAGCCAAAATAAACCTTTCCTCCTGTAAGTAGAGTTTCCCAAGTATTTTGTCACAGCAATGAAAGGCTGACTAACACACATGAGATGCCCAAATATATGGTAAACATTAGTTATGGGTATGTCTTTAAGGGTGTTTTCAGAAGAGATTAGCATCTGAATTGGTGGACTAAGCAAAGCAGATGGCTCTCTCCAATGAGAGTGCGTATCATTCATTCCACTCAGGGCCTGAAAAGAACAAAAATATAGAGGAAGGTTGGATTTGTGCTCCTTCTGTCTGACTGATGAGATGGGACATTGATCTTTTGCCCTCAGTGCTCCTGGTCCTCAGACATTCAGATCCAAACTGGTATTTATGCCATTGACTCTTGGATTTCAGACTTTTGAACTATACTTCCAACTTTCTTCGGCCTCCAACTTGTAAGCAGCAAATTGTGGAATTTCTGCAATCACGTGAGTTTATACCTTATAATAAATTATTTCTTTCTCTCTCTCTCTCTCTCTCTCTCTCTCTCTCTCTCTCTCTCTCTGTGTGTGTGTGTGTGTGTGTGTGTGTGTGTGTGAACGCATACCCTATTGGATCTGTTTCTCTGGACACTTCTGACTAATGTACATGGTATTCCCCTATTAACCTTTTATTGTAATTCTATTAATTTTGAGAGTGGGTTGTTGAAATCCCCACCTATAATTGTATATTTACTTAAATATCCCCTCAGCTCTATCAAATTTTGCTTTACACACTTTAAAGTTCGGTTGTTTTTTTTTTTTCATACAGATTTAGAAATATTGTCTTCTTAGTGGACTGATTCTTCTATCATTATATAATGTCCCTCTCTCTGGTAAATGCTTGTGCTCTGATGTTTAACTGAAATTATGACAATCACTCCTGCTATTCTTTTTTTAAAATTAACGTTCATATAGCATGTCCGTTTTCATCCTTTTACTTTCAACCTATGTATGCTGATGTATTTAAAGTTTCTTGAAGACTGTATACTGCATATACTTGGATCATGTTTTTAGTTCATTCTATCAGTTTGCTTTCTCTTTTCTCTTTTTTTTTATATCAGGGATTGAATCAGGAGTACTTAACCACTGAGAAACATCTGGAGCCTTTTATATTTTATTTAGAGATAGGGTCTTGCTAAATTACTTAGGGCCTTACTAAGTTTCTGAAGCTGGCTTTGAACTCTGGATCCTCCTGCCTCAGCCTCCCAAGTGGCTGGGATCATAGGTGCGCCACTGTGCCCGGCTTTTGTTATTTTCTTAATTGGAATATTTAGACAGTTTACATTTAAGGTAATTATGTATGAATTAGGCCTTGAGTATGCCATTTTATTACTTGTTTTCTGATTGTTTCTTTTGTTTATTCTTCCTGTGTTGATCTTTTCTTGTCTTCCTATGAGTTACTGAAGGATTTTTTTTATATTTATTTATTTTTAATGTTTTTTTTATTATTGGTCGTTCAAAACATTACATAGTTCTTAATACATAATATTTCACAGTTTGATTCAAGCAGGTTATGAACTCCCAACTTTACCCCGTATACAGATTGCTGTATCACATCAGTTACCCTTCCATTGATTGACATATTGCCTTTCTAGTGTCTGATGTATTCTGCTGTCTGTCCTATTCTCTACTATCCCCCCTCCCCTCCCCTCCCCTCCCCTTTTCTCTCTCTACCCCTTCTACTGTAAATCATTTCTTCCATTTATATTATCTTGTCTTACCCCTCCTTTCCTCTTAAATATCATTTTGTATAACCCTGAGGATCGCCTTCCATTTCCATGCGATTTCCCTTCTCACTCCCTTTCCCTCCCATCTCTCATCCCTGTTTAATGTAAATCTTCTTCTCAAGCTCTTCGTCCCTACCCTGTCCTTGTTTACTCCCCTTATATCAAAGGGGTCATTTGGTATTTGTTTTTTAAAGATTGACTAGCTTCACTTAGCATAATCTGCTCTAATGCCATCCATTTCCTTCCAAATTCTATGATTTTGAAGGATTTTTAAAGAGCTTATATATATTTTTTTTGAGAAAAGCTGTTCTAATCTCTGTCCTTTGAACTCTAGGTTCAAGTTAAAGATCCATATGGCTTGGTCCACCTCTCTGTCCTCAAGGACCTGTCCTCCCTGATTCCTTCAGTCTTGTCAAATCAATTAACTCTTCAAGTTCTTTATTTCTCATATGAAGGTTTCCCAACCCACTTCAAGTCACAAACTTTACTCATTGTCTGTTGAAGCAATTTTGTATTTAAAGTAGTTGGTAATTTTAGAAAAATGTGAAATTCATCTAATAGTTTCTCTTTTTCTGGGATATGGAACTTAGGGCCTCATGCATGAGGCAAAAGCACTTTGCCACTGAGCTACCTCCCCAACCCTGTTCATTTTTTTTTTGTATTACATTAACAAACTATAGAACATAAGTAATAAAGTTGTATGTTGTTACGATATATATTTTTATTTTTTCAACACATATCTCTTGAGAGTCCAAAGGGTACAGAGAGTAAGTTAGGCCAAATATTGGGCACAGAAAGGTGAACAGAGCACAATCTAAGTCTGGATAGAGTTCATAATCTAGCAGGGTTACAGACAAGTTCATATGCAATAGCCATGCAGTGTGATAAGTGTGATGACAAAGGAAGCAGAGTGTTATGAGAACTGACATATGCTAGCATGATGAAGAAAGATTTCCCAGAGGGAGTGATAACAAAGCCAGGACTCAAGAGACAGTAGGGGTTAACTAATGAATCAGGAAGCAGGTAGAGAAAAAGCACACAGTAAGAGGGGGCACCCAAAGGTAAGGCAGAGTAAATGCGTAAGAGGAACATACTGCAGTTAAGACAGCAAGGGAAGGAGATGAGTAATGACAGTAAGTAGGAAAGCCAAGGTCAGATCATACAAAGTCAGGCCAGGGGGCATACAAGTTAGGGTAATTATATATTTTATTTTTCACATTAGGGTGTGTGTGTGTGTGTGTGTGTGTGTGTGTGTGAGAGAGAGAGAGAGAGAGAGACAGAGAGAGAGAGAGAGAGAGAGAGAGAGAAAGAGAGAGATAATCTTAACCTAAGATCTACTCTCTTAACAATTTTTAAGTACACAATACCATAGTACACAATGTTATACAACAGATCTTTATAACTTACTTATCCTGAATAACTAAATAGCACTATACCCAGTGAATATTAACTCCCTAGTTCCCCCTCCTCCCAGTTCCTACTAACTATCATCCTATTATTTGCTTCTATGAGTTTGATTATTTTGTAATATTTTTTCCAACATGGCACTTTGGTTTGGATATGGACTATCCTATTAGCTATAGTATAGATTTGTACCATTCTGTAACTTCTGATTTGTTTCCTACAAATTCATCAGTTGTCCTTTCCTCCCTGACTCATCTACCTTTGCAAATTCAAAGCACCAAAGCATGTGCTAGCTTAAAACCAAACTCCAAACCATACTATTATAAGCAATTGCCCCAAATTCCCCCCCTTTTTTCTCATTCTATTTTTCTTTCCCTCATCTCTCTGGTTTCTAGATTCTTGATTTTGTACTTCATACCTACTTTGTACTCTAGCCCCCTTTGGTTTGGTGAACCTTTGGATTCAGTAAACCTTGGATTCGTCCTCCTGGTTTCTTAGAGTTTGACTTCATGCTTAGCTTGCAGCTAAGTTTGCCTTTTTTCCTTCATGACCTTGGTTAGGAAAACCCTTGCTCCACTCCTAGTTCAGATGCTGATGATGCATGGAGTTCTATTGCTACTTGCCCTTTCTCTCATTCATATACCTTCTGTGACCTATATTACAAGAAGGAGAGACAGAGGCTTGGCAGTGTTTCTCTGGTTTGAGCAAGAAGAAAACAGCTTTCAGGCTGCATACATTCTGAATTCCCCTTCCAGCCCTGCCTCTCCTGGCACACAGACACCTTTCCCAATGAAAAAAAATAGCATATACACATGCATTACAGTGAGACTAATATATCCAAATAGCCTCTTCCATCCTCCCCTCCCCACTTTTTGCATCCAATGCATCCAAGTGAGAATAGTCAAGAGCTTTGTTTTTTAAGTTATTTGAATTTCAAGCTTGCTCTGTGGGGGCTACATTTGCACTGAATGTAAATATTCATTAATGTATTTAATTCCCATCCTGAATATCTCTCTGTTTCATTATTGTCTGTCTAGTGGGCTGAGACCAAGTCTGACTTTTTCTGTATATCTTTCCCGTCCAGCATCACATATAAATGGGCACTTAATAAGTGATTTTGGTCATGATGGCATAATTAAATCTTTTTCTATTGGAAATTACACATGACTTGACTTGAGGGCTGGTCTACTCTAATTGTGTTTGTGTTCATTTTCTTGCTTTTACCTTTATCTTGCCTAATCCTGTCTCAGGAAAATGGGCTTTAAATTCCAAGGCAGCTCACATGGGATTTCAGTCCCCATTCCCTTTTGTTGTTGACCAAGGGCAAGGAAATAAAAGTGTGTGTGTGTGTGTGTGTGTGTGTGTGTGTGTGTGTGTGTGTATTTTCTGCCTGGAGTGGGGGATGGATTGATCCAGCCTTTAATGTATTCAAACCACTAATGCTGTCATCCCCTCATTTCTAGGCAGAATTAAAGGAAAAGCTGCTGTTATTTCTACTTAAGAGTCCTACATTTATTTCCACAGCTAGTATCTAGAGAATGTCTTGTCTTCAAGGAAAGCTTTTGTTATTTGAAAAGATTCCAGGTTCTTGCTATCACCAAAAGCCCTGATCCAGCTTTGGGAGGTGATATCTACTATCTGTAAGAAAAAAAGCAGCTCTACTTCTTCCTCTGACCTAGAGACTGAAAAAAAAGAGGGACAAAGGGGGATAAGGGAACTCTACCAATGGGACAATGTATACAAGGGGACAGTGGGTGACTTCTCTTTCATGTTAAAGATAAATATTGATATCTACTCCATTTTCTTATTTTATAAGGTTTACTTCTGCACTGTCTAACACAGTAACCCCTAGCCACGTGTGGCTAGTTCAACTTCAATTTAAATTAGAAAAAAATTCAAATTTCATTCCTTCAGTCAACCTAGCCACATTTCAAGTGCTCAGAAAGGTATAGCTAGAAGTTATGTAGTGGAATGCATATCTAGGTCATTCTTGGCATCGTAGAAAGTTGTTGAACAGTGTGGATCTATCTTAAAGCATGTTGAAATATATTCATTATACAATAAAATTTGGTGTTTCTTATGCCCTACCTAGTACACAAGAGTATGAATCATGTTAGGTGGTCAGCTGACAAAGTGCCACAGGCATGGAAAGGGTCCAGGACAACCCACTAAATCCTAGAAAACTCTAACAAGAGGCCAGCTCTAGCTGAATTACTACAACAACTAGTCCTCTGTTAATAATCAATTCAAACTTAATACAGTGGCAAAACCTGCAACTTCTGAAGATGCCTTCATCCAAGCATTGGGCTGTTTGGGA